AAGTTTACGGCTGATCTCCTTTACGTGATGACCCCAGGAAAACGTTTGGTCGAAGAAGACCCCAAGATTTTTAACAGTCTTATTGATGGCCAAGGCCACACCGTCAAGGTAAACACCAGGGAGCTGAGCCCATTTGACTCTTGAAATAAAGAAAGGGCTTCCGATGATGATAACTTGACTCTTGGCAGGATTAATTTGAAGACCAAAGTCTTTACTCCAGTTGGCTATGTTTTCAAGATCATCATTCATCGCCTGTATTGCAAGAGGAAGCTCATCCAGTGTAGACTGAACGTAGATTTGAAGGTCATCAGCGTAAAAGTGATAATTAGCGGATAGATGTGCAGTCAGGGTGTTAATAAAGATAGAAAAAAGAAGAGGTGAAAGAACGCCACCCTACGGAACACCAGTACATATATTATTCCACTGAGAGTAAGCATCATTCATTTTAATACGCTGCCGACGACCATTAAGATAGCTATGAAACCAGTCAATAGCGGTTGGACAGATATTCATAGAGCGAAGCAACCCAAGCAGAATTTCAAAGTTCACAGTATTGAAAGCATTGCTAAAGTCAAGCAGAGTGAGAACAGAGAGCTGCCCACGATCCATCCCTCGGCGAATGTCGTCACAAACTTTAACGGTCTTGTCTCTTGTCAGCTTTGCATCATCAGCTGCGGTCGATGACGGTATGCTGTCCGGAACTGAATCGAGTTCCTTCAGCGAAGAGATGCGGCGAAGTTTCCGATCAGCCCCTATCACTTGTACACGTCCACCGCGAGTCCAACAATTCGAGACGCCAAACCGCTTTCTTGCCTCCATAAATAGCGAGTGCCTTGATTTTGTCAGGAACTCAGACAAGGTTATTCCGGTGCCTTTAAGATTAGTTTTGGCAGCCCAGATCCTTAACTTGTCAGCATGCTCACGAAACTTTATTAATATAGGCCTAGGCTTGTCATTGGATCTTAATCCCACACGATGGCAAAGGGAGAGGCACTGCTCCGTCACATTAGGACACTTTAACATTATGGATATCATATTTGCAATGGAGCCCTGACTTTCATCCTTTGCTTCATTTACTCCATGCAGCAACAGACACTTTCGCCTACTGCGCATCTCCTGTTCATCCTGCACTCTAAATAGAATCGCCATCTGAGCTTGAAGATTCTCTAGGCAGAATAAAACAGAATTTTTGAAAGCTTCGAATTCCCTAGCAAGCGGAGTTTGATCCAGTGAGGGGGACCTATTCTGAGTTGCAATAAGGCGCTGCTGAAACTCTTCCATTCTGGTAGACACCATATCGGATACATCCCTTAATGACTTTTTAAGATCCTCCATAATAAGGTGAAAGTGAAAAATTAATACAAGGTAAATTGAAGGTACTTGAAGAAGTGATTTCCAACTTTAAGTTTATTATAGTTAAATAAAGGATATTATTGAGAAAAAAATAGCGATTGATGTGTGGTGGGACACTAGTTCATCACTGAAACTGTTAGTTATAATGTTTTTACCGAAATACTATTTAATTTAAGAAAAAAAATCACGCGACACACCAGTACACGTTTGCACTACCCACACTTTTTTTTTATTAAGAATATGATTGTAATTGTTTTTATAAATCTTTAGATATGTGAGATTTTTCCTTAGTTTTAATATTTTGTAGCATAAAAGTACACAGGTAGGTACGCAAACTTATTTAAAAATATATATAAAAAATCAGTGGCGCCACAACCTTTTTAGGTCTGGGCCTCAGATTTCTGTATATGTTTCATGATCATTTGTCAATCTTATAGGCATTAGTAGGTAATCAGCCTTTTGTACCTGACACATGCCGTCGACTTTTTGGGTCTAAGACAAATTTTCTCACGATGTTTTCCTTAAACGTTCGATCGAATGTTAAATGCGCACATAGAATTGCCAACACTGCTCAAACTTACATTATACTACATAAATACGCACACTGTTTTCAGCCACGCTTAAACATTGGAGGGACAAATGCAACCATAAATTCTGTTATCCTTTTATCGACATTCTGTATTTTATCGTTACAATCTCAACACTGTCGTGTATACCTTCCGTACTCCCACGCATTATGGCGGCAACCGTTCATCATGTAGAAACCAGAACACGCGACAATACACGGAAAATAGAAAACAATATCTAACAGTCTGATAGACAGAGAAAATTACGGGAAATTTTACTTATGTAACTGGCACGTAGTACCATCCCATATTGAAATGAAAACCCACAACACCATACAATAAATTGTAGATATGAAAACTTCAATGACTCTTACAATTTGGGGGCAGGGGGCATTATATCAATATAACAGATATATTATGTTTTTGATATATAGATTTACTTGACAATCGCACTAAACAATATTACTTGTGAAGTTGTGAGATACACTGTGTTGCATGGGTCTAGTATGTATAATGTATTCATATAAAACAAAAGATTTTTAATATTGATATGGTCAGTATTTAAGATGTTAGGCTAGCTATTTACGCAATAACTTGGTATTACATGGATCTCACAACTTTTTACGGTAGAAGAACTGCGTTGCGAGAGTTAAGTTCGGTGGTGGTTGTGGTAGACATGGTTCTAATATATATGTTAAATGAAACACTTTGAAGCTGGGTGTCAACTGGCTTTAATTGTTTAAAACATGAGCTTATAACAAACACAAAATTAGAAGTAGGTGCGATGCTGAATTAACAAAAAACTAACTTGACTTATTGTAGAGTTCTTAAATCTAAGTCACTTTTATGTTTTTACCGGAAACGAGAATTTTAACTTACAATTTATGAGTGTGGTACAAGTACGCACAACGGACCAACCACGAGTCTAATTGCGGAGAAAGGAGTCCTTCTACCCTACCCTGAGTGTGGTACAAACTAAAGGGCAAAGTTTTTTAGTCTCTACTCACAACATTAAACTTTTTTACATTTATTAGTACTATGACGACTTTTTCCAAAGGGGTAGGCAGAGACCAGAGACCAGCACCATTTGCTACGGTCCTGTCATTGTCGGCCCTCTCACTTCAGCCACTTTCATGAAATACACCATGCTCGTCTGTTATGGGAACTTTTAACTTGTCCCTTCTCTACCTCCAGGATTTGGTCCAGGTCTGTACGACAAGGCCTACCTAACCCGATTTCACCATCCACAGTAGTTCCTACTTATTAACCGATCATTCATCCGTTCTACATGGCCAAACCTCCAAGCATTTCTTTTCGTATCCTTGTCATTACGTCCTCTTTTAACCCACACTGCTCACATATCTCACTATGAATAATAATAATTATAGCTCTTTTATTCAAATACTTTTACATTTAAACGTGTTTCTATTTCTACACTTTTAGGTATCTGTGTGCCCTTCGCAAAACCTGTGGAATTTTTCCCGCCATTCCTCTCTGCTCTGTGCCGTGTACGGTGTACCACCTGCTGTTTTTTGAGTTTGGTTTATCCACCTTCTAAGTTGTCTTTCTCTTTTTGGAACCAATTGAGTAATTTTTTATCTCTATTACTTATAAATAAGCTTAAATACATGTATCTAGGTTTTATTATATCTATAATTTATTATAATAATATTATGTATTTGACAGAAGTATGAAAGAAATTTATAATTATTTGATGCACAGTGCAAATTAACAGCGCCGTGGTTGCAAGACCTTAATAGGAGTCGTGACCTCAGGTCCAATGCTCAATCTAGATTCAAACAATAGCTTGACTCATGCAAGTTAATCTTGATTTATTAGAACTAATTACACTAACCTCAATTAAAGGCTTAAATTTCCAAAAAGCGTTGAAAAGGGTCAAATAAAAATACTATTGATTTTATGCCTTAATTTTTAGGTAAATTTTGTAGGTCGCGGTCGTAATTTTATTTATTTTGTAAATGGTTATTGCATTGTAAGATCTTAATCTATTGGTCTGACAATTACGTATTTCAGTTAAATTATAAGTGCTCGTAGAATCGAGATATAATATTATTGCTGTACCGCTAAATCTATATTTAAAATGATTGCGGAAGATATCGATGGTACTATTATTGAATCTTCTTTAAACCATAGAAATTACGAAAAACTATGCGCCTAAACATTTTGTCGTAGCAAAGATGTGTTGACAAAAATTGCGCTTTCAACGATCATCTAATTACTAATCTATAAAATTCTCGTATTCGTATTCGTTTCCACACTCTTCCGAAACGGCTCGACCAATTCTTATTTCATTTTTTATTCATATTCAGTAAGTCTGAGAATCGGACAACATCTATTTTTCATACCCCTAAATATTTAGGGTGGTACTACCCCAAAATGTTTATTTTTAGATAAATTTTTTTGTTTTATTTTTTTATGATACAGCATACCAAAATACATACAACCTTTAATTTAAACCTATCTACGATCAAATCCTATATTTTATGTTAATTAAAATCTTATGACTTGAACTCTGAGGTTTATATAGAGAAAAGTTCACAGAAAAACCTAAGTTTTCATTCCAGAAAACCGAACAGTCTGGGGTAGCACAGCAAAATGTTCCATGTTGGTATGTACTAAAAAGGTAGGCTAAGTAAAATCACATTAAGGAGAAACTAAGTTCGCGGGGGCAGCTAGTATATTTATAATATTCTTGATAGCCGTTTTTTGGCCGGTAAAATTTTTGCCCTATCACCCGCATCCGCGTCATACATTTTGTAAAACTGCTAATTTGTACTCATTAATTACGCCGACCAAAATTGTTTTATTTATAGACATACTAGAATTTCTTTCAAATTTGGTTGCAAATTCACAGACGGCTTAGCTACACGATGTAAATTACGCAATCTATGTTATTAAGACTTTTCTTGAAAGAAACAAATACAAAAAACAAATATACTTTATTAAAAAAAAACAACATTAAAATTATTAAACAGGAACAAATTAATAAATTGTCTAACACATATACAGTGGTAACATTGTTTGGTATATAATGCATTATATAAAAACAAAGACTTGAAACTATTTAACCTCTTTAAACATGTCATAGAGTATAGAACAAAGTCTGTAAAGGGGCAAGCCGACAACAGTAAAGTAATCACCTTCCACACGCTCTACAAAAGTGCCACCAACTCCTTGGATACCATATCCACCAGCTTTGTCCCTAAAATAGGAATATATTATTATTACTGACAATCAAAACAAAAGATCTGGAATGATCTGGTTTAAATATGACAATAAGTAAAATAGTTCATACATTAGCTAATTTACTTAGATAGCTTTAAAATTATTCATTGGGTTAGTCGGCAAATAAAGATTATTTTCTTACTACATATTTATTTTAAACAATATGCGTCGTTCAGCTTTAAGAATTAGTTTAGACTGAAGAAAAGATCATTAAATTATTACTTGCTTATCCCTTGCCACTAAGGCCACAGGCTAAATAAATATTTAACAATTCAAATGTATTAAAATTAATAATAAAGCTTACATTGGTTCACCAGTTGCAATATATCCTCGGATTTGTTCATCATCTAATTTACCAAAGTAGACATCAGTTTTTTCAGTAAATTTTACTGTTTTATCTAATGATTTGACAACCACTCCTGTGTATACTGTGTGACCTCGTCCAGAAAGCCTGCAATTGTATTTTGATATTTTGTTTTTTAACAGTAATAAGTCTTCTCTATATAATTTATAATCATATTCATGTTTTTCATACTTATGAGCAATGGAATATTATGAATATTATATGACATTGCTCATAGTTATATGTACATATGAACTTTTGACAAAAATACTGATCTTACTTTGATAACATATCAAAAGCTTCTTCGTGGGAAATTGGCTTGCCAAACATTTTACCATCAAGTGTCACCATAGTATCTGCACCAATTATAACATCAGGTGCCGCACCTTCTGTTTTGAGCCTATTGTCAACCTCTAAGACTTTTTGTAAAGCCGTCTCTTCGACAAACTCTGAGAAGTTTTCAAAATTTTCAGGATCCAAATCCTCTTTAAATAAGGATGGGCACAACTTTACTTGTAAGCCCTACAAATTAGAATAGTGTGTAAGTACATATATTAAGAAATTCAATAGTTTGTATTTATAAACATATACAACAAATGTATACTAAGACTAGATATATGGTTAATTGTTATTATTTAATATATCAAACCTCAATTCCGACCTAATAAATAATATACAGTTAAATAAGTACTTACAATATTTTCTATCAGCTCTTTTCGTCTTGGAGAGCCACTAGCTAAGATAATATATTTTTGTTTTAATACGTGCATTACTGGTTGAAGCATGTTTGAAGAAATAAGTAGTTATTAAATACTAGGTATTTCGGTTGAAAAACGAATAGATGTAGTAGTATTAAATCTACGACAACTTTAAGTTAAGATTTAACAATAACATTAACATATGGTGTTACCAAGTAATGTTTATCTTTACCTATGGGCTATGGTCATTACCCGCGCTTTTGTTCAGAAATCATAGACTACTCTCAACTCTAGACCGTTTTTTTTTTCTCTTTATGGCTCTGGCACGGTTTGTGCATTAGCCAGCCTCTAGACTGTTAAAACTTAAAATTGAGACAGATACCTAGACGACAGGCGTGCTGCGTGACCCACTTACGCCAAAAAATTTGTATGGTTACTAAAATTTTATGTAAATCTTTCATTAATCTTATTTTCTTATTATTGCTTTATATATATTATTAATAAACTAAAACTATAGAAAACACTAAACAAACCTTGAAGGGTTTTAACCTTGGTGCCAAAAGGGCTACACCACAGTAAAGATTTTAAATAAACTAGTTTAAAAAAAGCACAATTAATAGATACAAAAAACGAAACGAAAACAGAGAAAAAAAATTATACGTTATGTGTTATAGGCTTAGATCAAGGCTCAGCTTGATATTTTAGGTTAGAAACAAAACATGTAAAATTATTAAGCGATATAACAAATTTGTTTGAACTTTAGATAAAATAAAACTTCATTTACTTAGAACAAATTTTATTTTAGCTTGGTGAGTTTATTTACGTTAGGCGTTATTACGAACTTAAGAAAAATGTTAACTGACGTAGTTACTTCCAAGAGCGCCATCCTGTCAGCAGCTTCTGAACCTTAGTTGGCTAGACCTAAATAAATTATGAAGTACTAAATTGATTTTTTCGTACCATGAATAGCGACGAATATAATACAAAAAAAATCAATCTGTAATTTTATATACCTTCATTAGGTTTATCAAGAATGACATCAGTCCTTGGAAATGAATTGCTTAGCATTTCCAGTGCCTGCGGTGAATTTGGAATTATGTGTGGGATACCCTAAAATAAGATTTAGGTTTGAGTTTAATTTTGAAGGCAGCTTTATTTCTGCAACCAGTGATACTTGTTAATAATATTAAAATCTTTGTTTTTGATAGCAACCCTGAGTAACAAGCATATATAAAATAAGGACTTTTATTAAAAAAAAAAAAAAAGGCATATATAATTATAATAAAGTGCTTATACAGTCTTGCTTTAAGCTGTTGTATTATTTAAATTGTAAAATTCATTTGTAAGCCAAAAAATACCATAGGAACGGATATGTAGTACGTTTCGGAGACGCTTTCTCGTGGTATGTTATGTAGAGATAATTGCTTCAGTACATCTTCGCGTGTTAGGCTTGTGTTTTCTAACTGAAATTATTTAGTATTAATTGTGATTATAGCACCCTTGGGACGAATAATCAATTAATTAACATAATATATTAAATTACAGTTAATACTTAATGTCAGAATCGCAGGGCGATATGTATATTTATTATTCTAAGTCATTCCTGTTTCTTAAAGGAGAAGGCACAAACCATAGACCTCCATATTATGCTACTCTCCTTAAATATCTTTCAATTTAAAATGCTTCCATATAATAAAATATTCTATTATTAATTTAATGTTATAAGAATATATGAAAATGATATCTGACGGGGCTTGTATTTTTTTTAATGTAGCGGGGGGCATCCGGGCAGAAGGCTCACCTTATGTTAAGTGACACCCATAGACACTCACATTACCAGAAAGCTCGCAAGTGAGTTGCCGGCCTTTCAAGAACTATTACGCTCTTTTCTTTCTTAAGTCGAATTAGTTCGGAAACACTTCAGTGGGCAGCTGGTTTTACATAGTGGTGGTGAAAAACTGCCTTAAAAAACGCTCAGTTGTGGAACGACGGACAATAAGACGTAGTAGTAGATTATGAAATATATCAGGATTGTTAAGAAACCAATAAAGAAATCGCATGTAAAATAAATTACCTCAATAACAATAGTAAAAGAGGGATGCTTGAGTCGTAAGTGCGCTTGTAATTCTGACACTTGACGGAACCTACCAGGGCACCGCGGACAGTTAAAAGTACGACGCATTGGCGGGCTAAAATACATAATAAACAAAGGTACAAATGTAAATGGGAAATACACATTGAAATACATACTACTATTTATTTGGTTGGATACATCAGCTATTGGCAGGAATTATTTCACTCTTAAAGCATTTAGCATAATATGTATGAAAATAGCGAAGTCACAAGTTATCAAAACATTCACGCCTGCCGCAATAAACATTTGTCTAGGGTAAGTTATCAAGCGTGCGTGAATTGCTAGTTGTAAAAATATTAATTAATTACCGTCTAAGAACGTTCAGAGAACGAATGGGTTCGTTGCGAACCGAATCATTTTGTATACCGTGTACTTCTCTGAAAAAAAAATACAAAAAATATGAAATGATCTTCTATATTGAAACCCTACTCATACAAATTAAAATTCAAGTGCAGTCGCTTTTATTATTTCTCCAGAAATTTTACAATGAACTCACTTTAAATGTTTTTGGAGCGCATTGACATTGTGCAAGTTGTGTCCACATTTTGGACATATTGTTGAATCCTTGATCATTTCTGAAAGAAACACTTCAAAATATTAAAAATCAAAAATTCTTTTCTAGATCTTATATATAGCACTATATACACGGATTACACACAATTTATTAAATTTTAACTGACAACAAATATGGCGGTAAAAACCAGAGAAAGATTTTAACTACATACGTCAATTGTCAAACTAGTGTAACAGACTACTAAAATCTGAAGTTGATTGTTTTAGTTCTGTATAAAACTAATATTTTTATATACGCAATGTGATTAGCCTTTTGTGATTGACAGCCGATGCCGACTTTTGGTTTTACGATATTTTCCCTATGAGCAAATTCTTTGTGCGCAGATAGAGAAATCTATTGTATAAGTTTAGTCTTTATTTGAACCCAGAGTTAAGCTCGTCAAGAACATTATAAGAGTACCTTCGTAATCATCCAACGCCTCATCACAATGTTCCTTTTGTCTATGTTTGTAAAGTTCAAATTTATTTGGCAAAACTTGGTCACAATCTCGGCATGGTATTCTAAAATAAATATAATAACTCAGAAAGTATAAGAATGTAAATTAAAATTATTACGAAAAGAAAGGCGATACAAGGAAAAAGAAAGGAGATGGAGAAATTTTTATCTGTAACAACGTTTGTCACTTTTTGCTCTGGTAATGACGTGTTCTGTGGAAAAGTGTGTATTATTTGTAAACAAGCGAAACATTGAAAAACTATAGTCATTGTATGTTTAGATTACATGAACATGTCTAAAAAATATCGCTATTAAAAAACTACTCAAACAAACCTATAATAATCTTGTCTGGCTATTTTCGTGGTCCCGCCATCTTCATGTGCGGTTTTTCCGTGTATTTTCTTTCTATGATATGCAACGCTCCAGCTAAACATAAAATAAGTTATAGTTTTAATAAAGAAATTACTTTGATAAATTTATATAGACGCAATCGAGGTAATTCTGGATCCATCACAACACCAGCGTAAATCAAGGACGGAGCGGATAAGCGGGTTCGTGGTGAGTGGGGATCTTGGGGCCCCCTTGGAATGTGAACTGGATTTGTTTTTTTTATTTGGACCACTCCGTCGAATGAATTTTATACAACTTTGTCACCAGCTTTCAGTGAGGTAATTTTTGCGAGAATATAAAAAAAACTGACGTATTTCCTAGAAGCCTTAAAAGCCGGCAACGCACTTGCAATCTATGCAGTCCATGAGCGGAGATAAGTACTTAACTCTAAGTGCCTGTTCGTTTGCCTCCTGTTCCATAAAAAACAGTTCGATTGTACGTATAGTTGCGGGTATTAAATAAATTAACAGAGCAGTGTTGGCCTAATGGCTTCAGCGTGCGACTCTCATCCCTGAGGTCATAGGTTCAATCCCCCACCGCACCACTACACAGATGGGCTTACAGATACAGAAATCTGAGCTCCAGACCTAAAAAGGTTGTAGCGCCACTGATTTTTATCATTTTTTTATTAAATAAATTGAATGAACTACCTGTTAGGAAAGGTCAATTCACATTGGTTACACTTAAATAAAAAGTTTTCGTTGGCATGCTTCAAGCGGCGATGTACTTGTAAATACGTCCAGTGCAGGTAGGAGCGACCACAGTCCTATAACGTTTTTAGTATTGTAATATATCTACTGCATATGTAGAAAGTAACCTCCTAATACGTGAATAATAATAATAATCTTTTTTTTTATTAATCAGACAAATACAGTCCATTGATTGATTAGTGAGTTAGTAGCAATAGTTTCTTAAGATCTATGTTAGAGAATTAGTAAAAATAATTAGTAAATATTTACAAAAATAAAGTGCGTGCGTACAAAGTACACATGTCAGAAGTGAAACTTCTTTGGCAAATTAATTTTAATACAGAACCTAATTGTGACTACTTAATACAAAAATGTAAAAGGTCAAAATAACCGTTTTTGATGACTTGGACCGTTTCTTTACTTGGAAGTTATACGCACATACATATACAAATTTAGCATATGTATGTGACATATACAAATTTAGCATACATACTAGGATGCATATATTTATTTTTATTGCACTGTGTTGCATTATACTATTAAAATGTAACATAATTAAATGTAAAAGAAAGGCAACTGGCGGCTTTATCGCTTTCGAGCGATCTCTTCCAGGCGACCACTGTGAGAAGAAAAAAAGAAAAATGCCGATTTTGATGACTTGAGAGTTGTTGAATGACAAATGGGGTATGACGTTTTTGTCAGAAATTTTATAATGACATACCTCACACAAAAAGTGTTTGACAACAGGAAATCCACCATATCCCAAAATCCCAGCACTGCTTGCGCTTTCCTCTTTTTTACCATCAGTTAAATTCCTTTTGTAAAACCCATGTGTTGTCTTATGGGTTGTACACCTATATTCAAAAAATAATTAATTAAAATGTTACAAGATTTTAGTTCGGGACCAACGAGAACATAAGAAAAAAACCACGGGTTGCACTAATTATCAGTATAAAAGAATTATCATTTATGTGGTAGAATTCAATATATTATTATAATTGCGCTATCGTACACAAACATGACAATTTATATTACATTAAATACGCCGCGCCAGCTGTCAACTCTCCATCCGTTTTACGAATTTTCGATCAGGTCACGTGTCCTGACGCGAGTGTAAAATTTTTTACCCATTCCAAAAAATGTGTACAACGCCGCTATAGAAGTTTTCACTTCAAAAATGTTATTGCAAATATTCTGTATCAAGACAATGACTGCTTTATCAGGAATTGACTCCAGGACCAGGGCTGTTGCTGTATTTTTGTAACACTTAAAACTGTCAAAAGACAATATGAAATTCCACCCGTATCACCTCGACGTCCGTCGTTCCACAACTGAGAGTTTCTTAAGACAGTTTTTGTCGCACACCACTATGTGGAACCAGCTGCCCACTGAAGTATCCGAACCAATTCCACTTAGGGTCCTTCAAGAAGAGAGCGTATCAATTCTTTAACATCGCGCGATCCGTCAGCCATGGGTATGACTGAACATCAGATGAGCTGTTTGCAACCTGTTCTAATACTTTTAGTACAAACCTGGAATATGTAGCGAAGCTGACTTTGCAGACGTGACAAACGAACGGATTTTTAACACCCTTGTGCTGGATTCTGTGCGAGTTTAGAGCGCCTTCCAAATAGAACACGCTGCGAAGAAATTTAATTTTTGAAAAGTACATTAAATTAAATTTGCAAAATCAATTATTTTTGTAAAAACCAACACAAAGAACTAACCCTTATAAATCTAATATTAACATTTCTTCAATATTAAACTTAGAGTACTTCTAGTCAAAGCTCTACAATATTTCGTACATTCTAGGCTTACTTGAAACTTTAAATGAATTATTTTAATTTTATTTTGTTTTCTTTACCAGGGTCATCGCTTGAAAGCGTCCGTAATATTTTAATTGTAATGTATTTCTTGCAACGAAGTGTTTATTTATTTAGAAAAGCTTGCCAACGCTCGGCACACTGATACATTGGTACAAGAACAATAAAATACAGTTTTTAATAGACAAACATAACATATACGACGAGATAACAAAAAACAGTGTGGCACTCGGGGACTGCCGCGGTTAAGCTATTGCATAGCATTTTTTATTAACTTATATGCATATTATAATTATTTATATTTTTTCTATTTATGCAGTATTTTTATTTTCTTTGATATTAATTCAATCTACCACTCTACCAGACTCAGACTAACACGCCTATATAGTCTGTCTCACTCTAACGCGTACCGGCTGCACCGGCCGCGCTTACGCTACGTCACCGATCACGCCAGACCGATGTGAGACGCAGTATGCGTTCCGTCCCGCTCTAACGCGTATTGGCCGCATCTATATTACGTCATCGTGTGTTAGGTTTTTATTTTCGTTACGGAATTTCTTGATTCAGTCGCCGCGCTCAAAGCCCGCGATAAAATCTATGCAATAGCTTAAAAACTAAAGGAAAATTGTTTTCCAAGTGTGGGGGGAGCAACTATGGATGTGTTAAATAATAATTCTGGGAGTCCATAACTCATAGGCTCCATACCAATATAAAAACAATAAAAAACTCACTCTTCACAATATTCACACCGAAAAGCCTTTTCAATTCTGACAACTCGTATGATGGCGTTGCTCGACTCATCCAACTCTTTGAGCAGGGGCTGACTCTCTTCTTGACTCACTTCTCTTGGTATTGGCTTGCTAAGAGTGGATTCTGTAATATTTTATTAATTATTCTTTCTTTTGTTTCTATCAAATGGTGTTATTGGTAATGTAAAGATAGATGAGCTAGAGGGGAGGGGGGGCGTAGTTAGGGACACCTGTCCCCCCCCCCTATATAACACATTTTTAATAATAAATAGTATTTTTTTATTATATACGGGCAAACGGGCAGGAAGCTCATCTGATGTAAAGTGATAGCGCCGCCCATGGACACTCTCAATGCCAGAGGGCTCGCGAGTGCGTGTCCGGCCTTTTAAGAATTGGTACGCTCTTTTCTTGAAGGACCTTAAGCTAGTTCGCTGCGACATAAACATGAAAATTAAGAATGGATGAATGTTGGAGACATATTTAATATTAAGAAGCTAATTAAATTAACGAACAGTTAATATATAATTACCAGTTTTGACAGCCTGCGTCACAAGTCCACTTGTGGGAGATAGTCGTTCGCTGGGTTCATCCCGCTTTATGTCGTTGGCAAATGTCTCAATACATTCACTTGATTTTGTTAAGTGCTCCTAAAGTTTTATAATTATTATTAAGACTAGAATATTTAAATAAGAAGGAGGCCAACTGGCGGCCTTATCTTTGAGCGATCACTTTTAGGCAACCACTGTGATAAAAAATATATTAAATTTAAGGTGAGCGCAAGTGCAAATCTACATAAAGTATACAATAAGAAAAAAAAAGGGTGTTTGTACTTATGTACGCGCGTAAGAAGTTATACTTCTTTGGCATTATTAAAAATAGTTTTTGATTGCATGCAAATAATTAATTACAATTTGTGGGGCTGAGAAATTAGAAAAAATAAATACAAAGGTCGACGATCAACAAACTACAAAAAATAAACTATTTTATGAAAATCGTTTTGAGAATCATAACTGTATAGTGGGCAGATAATAGAAATACCTGTGCATCTGTATGGTCCCTAAAAGCACGAGAACAAATGCCACAGACCAATACGAGTTTTGGGCATAACTCCTCCTCATGCGCTCGTAAATGCATACGTAAGCGAGATCTTCGAGTCAACTGTTTCAGACATATGTGGCATTGGAATGGTTTTATCTGGAAAACCATTTTTAATAACTGTTTTATACGTTTATATTAAAGAGCAGTGTTGCTTCGGGCTTGCTAGTGGCTTCAGCGTGCGACTCTCATCCCTGAGGTTGTAGGTTTAATCCCCGGCTATGCACCAATGTACTTTCTTTCTATGTGCGCATTTAAAATTCGCTCGAACGGTGAAGGAAAACATCGTAAGCAAACTAGCCCAAAAGACCAAAAAAGCCGATGGCGTGTGTCAGGCACAGGCGGCTGATCACCTACTTGCCTATTATATTGATCATGAAACAGATTCAGAAATATGTGGCTCAGACTTAAAAAGGTTGTAGCGCCAGTGAGATTTTTTTAATACGTTTAATAAATCAGCTATGGTGGTAATAAGTATGAAAGTGGTTACATTACTCAAGTACTAATAAAGACGCAATTTTAATTTATTGTAAGAAGAAATAATTGCTATTAATTTCCACACTATGTTGTCCGTCCAAAATAAATCATATTTAAGAGAAGCGGCTACAAAAAATGCCTCTGGAGGGTAAAGAATGCTGATAATAAAATTACAATTCAAATACACGTGGGTTCTAACGCTACACAACCGGAAAATTATGGAATGAAAAAGTATTAGGTATCCGTAAAAAAAACAATAGGGGTATGTAAGGTTGATGTCGAAAAGACTCGTATCTGTAATAAGGTATGTAGTGCTTTATGTCGAAAAGGCCCGTATCTGTACTAAGGTCTGTAAGACTTCCTGCCGAAAAGAAAAGGAAATTTTACTTGAAACTGGCATAAAGTTAAAACTATTGCCATAATATTAAAAAAAGAAAAGGAAAAGCATGGAGGTTATCAAAAAATACCTGTAAATGTGTGACTCCGTGCTCATCTAATGTCTGCTTATCAAGGAATCGCTTTCCACATGTCACACATACGTAGCGGCGTGTGTCTGTGTGCGTGCGACTGTGTTTTGTTAATGTCGCTCTAAAATGATAATTTTTAATACTATAAACAAAATCGTTGAAGTATACAATATCATTTAAAAGACCATATAAAGTTTTCAACTGAAACTATTCTTTATCGCACTGTCTCTTTTTAACATGGAGTAAGCATAACTTGATTGAAAAAGAAGAAAGAGTACTCAGTGTTCCACTACTGTTATAGTTTTTGAAGTTATACTTCTTTTGGCGCGTTAGGGAAAAATGATCAGAGTAAATTTTTACGATGCGCGCGCCTTTTACACCTTCACAAAAAACCGACACAACAAAATAAAAATGTCAATTTCTTTAATTATGTAGAAATATTTTTTTGTGATATTTAAATAAACTTTATTAAATAGATAATGCGTTATAATAAAACTTTCAATGTATTAAATACCTTTTTTCTACTGTTATTGTCGTGTTTTCTACAAACGCAGACTACAATTTTTGAAAAGATTTTTATCTTGTTAAGCCAAAGAAGTATAACTTCTAACGCGTGTACAGAAGTACACACACGTTTTTAGTTTTTGAAGTTTGGTTAAAGAAATCCTCCTTAGAGGGCACGCAACGAACACGATCTATTGAAAAATGTCTTTCTCCCTCTCTTTATATATATAATTTATCGGACACAATAATTTATTGAGAATTTTAGTTATTCAAACATCAAAGTATTTTGGTTCAATTTATTAGGTTCAAATTATACTTACCTCAAAAAGAACGTCTTTCCACAGTCTTTAACAGGGCACTGCCACCTTTTCTGTTTACTATGTTGAAAATGTATATGGTCAAATAATTCTGTTTCTGTTAAAAACGTCGTATTCTTACATTCGTTACATTTGTACATACCATCTTCGGTTTGAAGAGCGCTTTTTTCGTGGAATTGCCTTTTAAAAAAAATACAGTACTGTAAATTAATTCAAACCTAAATAGTATTAGTGTATCAGAATAAAAAGTTGAAATTGTATATTTTTATTAATTTAGGCGTTAATTATTATGCGGCAAATAATAAATTTTTAATTACGTATTCCAGCATTGTTGAAACAGTACTGTATACAACGTAATCAAATCAAGAAACACTTGACATGATGACAAAAATTCCTAACTAACACGAAAATGAGACAGTATATAAATACAACATATGAGTGACAAGGACAAAACAATGTGATGCCTCTGTTTTACACTGTTTCCCACCAACAAGCAACGACTATAGAATATGCAATCTGTAGTAGGAAACATTTGTTCATCAAAATAGACTATATTATTTTATTTTATGGGATTTTTTTTTTGTATAATACTTAATTGTGGGAATGTGAATCTTTTATCAAATATTACGTACATATGAAACTTGAGCCTGACTTTTGATGAAAAGGACTCATTACAGTTGTGACAAGTGACAATTTGAGGACTACCTGACCGACTACGCTTTTTACGGATTTTCTGAAAAAGAAAATTTATAAGTATGAGCAATAGAAATAGACTTCTTTGCTAAAATGTTTATAACAATGATACCTAACATTTTTTTTACGATTGAAACAATAGATGTTTTACAAGCATTTTATGAAATAATTTCATTTCGTGAAATTATATTAATAATATTTAATTTTATTATATCATTAAAATTTTGATTGTTTTATTTATAAACATTTATTTTATTTTTGTTTCTTTAGCTTCTGGGGTATAAAAATAAATAACCTATCATGCAATTGGCCTTAGCGTCAAGCGATCACTGCTATGTGTACGATGCCTATATGCAGTTGGTCCAGCTAAAAATATTTTTATTAGAGCGTACCATTTCATAAAAGGCCGGCAATGCATTTGTGAGCTTTCTGGCAATGTGAGTGTCCATGGGCACTCATGGTCAATGTAAAATAATATACATATTTTTACTTTTCATTACTTAAGTATAAAAAACCTTACCAATAAACTATCATCATTTGTTTGTTTTGGCCTTCCTTGCGCCCGCTGTGACAAAATATTATATATATATTTATAAAAATCTGTTATTAAAACACAATATTTATTACAAAAAATTAGGGCACTTTCGCAATAGTATTTTTGATGTCCGTCTCTCTATATATCTTTATATCCCTAATGTAACTAAATATAGCATCTTCAAATTTGAATAAGTGGTTTTCCGTTCCTAGATTTAAATACTTTTTTATATACACTACTAGAATACTTTTTATGTACTTACTTTAAAAAAGTCCTCTTTAGAAGGCACGCAAAGAACAGTATCAGTCGGAGATTTTCTCTTTCTCCCTCTCTTCCTACATTTATGAGTGTTTAGGGTTTCTGCGTTTGGGAATATACGGCTGAAATTATATTTAAGTATGTTGTAGTTCCTTTAGTAAACTTTTGCAGATTTAACCGCAATCAAAAAGTCGTAAATTAACATTCACTATATCAGACAAATGTCATTTCTTGGTTGTTTACTGGAAATGACTGACAATATTACCGGTTTTTTAGTGTCGCGTTTCATATTACGGCAAAAAGGCGACCAAAAAATTATGTAGGCTATATAATGACAGCGTAGAAACAAGATTTTTTTTTTCAGGAGGCAAACGGAAAAAAGTATTTCTTTTTTTTTTGAGGGCGGACGGACAGGAGGTTCACATGATGTTAAGTGATATATGGACACTCTCAATGCCTAAGAGCTCGCGCGAGGGTTGCCGGCCTTTAAAAATATATTATTTTTATTTCACTCTTCTCCCTAGCACTTTTTAATCTTTTGTCTCTTTCTGTTCAATTGTGACTAAAACGGCGTAATTAGTCTGATTTATATTTTTAAACGGGAAATAATTTAATTTACAATAAAATAAAAAGTACCCACCTACAATTAAAACACTTATGCTTAATCAACTCATTAACCTTCTGTGATAACTGAACTTTTTCATTCTGAAAAGATTTACAAAATTTGCTTAACGAATGATCTAAAAATGCAGGTTTGTTTTTTTTATAAAATAGGAGTGTAAATTATCCTACGGGACGTCCAAAAAGGACAGTCATCGCAGCCCATGGACACCCATTTTTAATGGATGAGTTGCCGGCCTTTGAGGGAGGAGTACACTCTAACTTTGAATAGTTGGAGGTCGTATCTCTCAGGGAAGACCCCACCGGGAGTCGATTCCACAGTTCGCTAGGTCGCAAAAGACAATGCCTGTGGAAGACTTGCAGTCGTACGTTACTCCTACGTCTTCTCGTGCGGTACACTAAAGAATAGGCTTATATAAGCTTAAAAAAATTATTTGCTCTGACTGTGGAACACAATTTCAAAAGCACAACACAAATCTATCAATTAAAATGAGATACAAAAAATAATTCGAATTTATTAAAAAATTACCTTAACTTCATTAAATTTCAACAGACTCTGCAACTGTTCATCAACGTCTTCACCAGTGTGAACGATCCATATGTCTTCATCATCACTATCTAAGGTCTCTTGTTTTACTATTGTCTCTAATTGCATTGGGGCCTGAATTAAGAATTTTTCAAAATTAATATTCAAAAAAATAAAAATTATTTGAGCGTGAAAAAAATCGGCGAATAAAAAAAATTTGCGATTGGTGAGAACGTTAGATCGTGTCAAGTGGGCAGACGAGAGAGGCCTTCGAAAACTACTAAATACGATATCGTTATGACCGAATTGTCTTCTTTGATTGGAGTGATATTAATCTGAAAATTTTTGGTAAATCTAAACATTATTGCAGAACCACTATGTGGAACCAGCTACCCACTTAATTATTTTCGAGCCAATTCGATTTAGGGTCCTTCAAGAAGAGCGTATCAATTTTTAATAGGCAACGCACTGGCGAGCCCTTTGGCATTAAATGTGCGGTATCACTTAAAATCAAATGAGCCAGCAAAATAATAACTCGCTTTCCAAACAATACAATTACAGATTTGTAACTTTAGAGTGAAAATGAAGGTAGTGTCAAATATTTTAACAGATTTTTTTTACTTACCACGTTTCCTTCTATAACCTTGTTTTCTTCGTTTTCATCTTGTCCCACTAAAACAATTTTAAGAAACTTATGGAGTAGAGACAAGGAAGAAAGGCCACAGAAAAATCTTTGATAAAATTCAGTTCAGTCGGCAAATTCATTCTAGCTACATTTGTTATTCCTACAACATTTATCTATAATGATTTATAAATTGGAACTAAGAACAAATCCGCTACAAAATTTCCGTATTGGGTAAATCCCTGACTTATTATACATTATTGCCCTAAATAGATTTTCCAGCTTCCGATTGTACCTACTTATTAAAGTTTACTGAAATTGCCTAAGTAACGATACTGAATACAAATTCTAAAAACTCAAAAATTCTTCCGTTCGGAAAACTGGTGTTGTAAACACCTAACAAATCATATTACATATATCATCGATAAACATATCAAATCTTATCTGATATTGCATCATGATCAGCCACCTTATGTGGTCCATTTCTGGAGGTAGGCCTCCTCTATTTAGATCAGATAATAACTAATATATGCAAATAAAGGAATTAATTAAAAATTATTCTACCGTCATCGCTCTTTTTCGCAGAACTTCTAGTCCGTGTTGCGACCGGTGAAGACGTTTTTGATGTAACATCATAACTCTTCTTATCTATACAAAGTAAATTACAATTTACTGAGGTATTTCCGAACCAATTCGACTTAGTACATTCTAAGAATGTACTAATTCCTAAAAGGCCGGCATTGGCCATTGCACTTCCAAGCCTTTTGGCATTGAGTGTCTGTCGGCGGCGGCATCACTTAACATCAGGTGAGCCTCTTGCCCGTTGGCCTCATGTTATAAATAAAAAATATGTTTACGAAAAAGTTCACGATCTTCCAAGTAATCAAAAAAAAAGTGTGTGTGTACAAAGTATACATGTCAGAAGTGAAACTTCTGTGGCAAACTAATCTTTAAGTGTTGTTCATATTTATACAAATCTAAAAGTTTAGATTTCCGATACTTAGAGGGACGGAAAAAAGGAAGATATGTTAGGAATTTAATGAATTTAATTGTCATTAAAATATTAAGTGTCGAATAATAAATAATAAATAAAAAAGATGGCGCGTAACCGAAAAATGTGACGGTAATTTTTTTTCCAACGCCGATAAAGAAGTTTGACTTCAAACAGCAACATGGCGCGTAACCGAAAAACGTGACGATTTGCTACAAAATTTCTCCCATACGTCGATAAAGAAGTTTCACTTCAATAATTAGTAAACTAGTAAATCAAATTTTCAATTTTGCTAAGCTCAGAACTCGAAGGCTGGACCAAATCGAGTATTTTTTTATTTATTCCTTAAACTAAGGGAGAAGATATTTATGGAGACAAAGATTGTAAAAATATAAATTTAGTTTTATTTAGTACTTAGGTTTTTATTCCGGAAAACCGAAAAGTCTCTGTGGGTTAGCATGTGTTCCATATTATGTTGGTATGTCCTTAAAAGGTAGGCTAAGTAAAATCATATTCAGGCGAAACGAAGGTTGCCGGGACAGCTAGTTTTTTATATTCAAATGTTTCATCTTCTGAACTTTTACACTTCCCTGTGTTACGCTTAGCTCTTAGCAAGGGTCGTCTGGAAGAGATCGCTTATAGGCGATGTGCCCAATAAGCCCATTGCTCTCAGCCTTTTGATTTATAACCGTATGTATTGTATGCAAAAGTGAAAATAAATAAAATACTTGTCATTTTTACTGGCCGATTGTCGTCATTGAAAATTATCTTACTCTTTATCTTACAAAACTTGAGTTTCTTGCCCATTCATCTGCATATGATACTACTTTTTGGAAGGGGCAACTCGTAATTTTTTTATATATTTTTAACTTGTAATTTTAACATCAAAAAATGCCTTTTTAATAGGCCTAGTTGAAATAAATAGTTTGACTTTGAAGATCGTGAAAGAGTTGTTCGTTTTTACCGTTTCTAACGGGGCATATACATAACTGGTGAATTCAAAACACTTTCTCCCCGAATCGAACCTAGGATCTACTTATACACCATGTTTACTGAACTTTTTCTCAGCAACTTTTCGCATACTTTCTGATTATTTGGTAACTAAGTTTATTAGGACAAAACTTTCAGGCAGAAGTTTGTTTAAAATGGCTGTCGCTACTGGTACTTACCCTCATTTTGTGCATCTTTGCTTTCTTTAGGTGGTTCGTGCGCTGTCTTCACATGTCCCTTTAACCACTTTAAGTTCGCGTAACCTTAAATTAAGCAATTATTTATTAAAGTATTATTTGCATTAGATTTACAATTTACAATACTATATAATAAAATCTAGATCTTGTGTATAGACTAACCTACTGTATTGTAATGTAAAGTTACACGTGGCGGCGGTATCAGTTATTCTATAACAAAATATTAAACAAATCTACTCTATTTAGTATAAAAACCTACTTGTCGGAGTAATATTCAAGTAACGACGACACTACAACTAAAATGACTCTTTTTACAAAAATCAACATATATACTATTCTCTACCCACAAAATATGTTTTCTATCTACCCCCACAAACACTACATAAATACCATAATCACACAATGGACAAGGAAATACGGCTTCCTCGTCTAAATCATGTTTATGCTCTTCACAGTGATCCATCACTTCTGGTAAATCCACAAAAATTTTGTCACAAAAGCTATAAACAAATGTTGCAAATTATTAATAGATTCTAATATAATATATTTGAAGAATACCAATGACACTATCGAGCTTTTATTATTTAGAAATTAAAGTTTATATATATTTTTTTAAATTTAATTTAATTGCTAATATATATTACCGGCACTTTAATTCCGCTAAATGCTTAGTTTGATATTTTCCCAAGAATTCTTTAACTTCTTCATCTGCCTCATCTACGTTATCTATCGCTTTATCGAGTTCTGTTTCCGGTTCTATAATCTCTACGTCACTAGAACTTTCCTTTCCGCCATTTAATTCTGTCTTTAGTGGTTTGTCTTTGTTTTGATCCGAGAATTTCTTTTTCAAATCAATGTCGGTTATATTTTGAAAAATGTACTGTTGGTTATTTTTTATTACCAAATATTCGTCGCTATTAAGAGATTCGTTCGGACTTTTAACCAGACACAATTTGAAATGGTCTTCTAGACACTGTTCACAGATAATTTTTAGCTGTACCGACGTTCGTTTTTGAGGTGAACATCTGTGAATCCTTTGATCTTCATTATCGAATAAATACATTTTCTCATAATTATTACGGATTATCTTTCCACAGATACAACAGTCCTGATTTGGGCCTGCATCTAAATTGGATTTATACCAGTTTTTTTGCACGATTCTGGATGGGTCAGATTTTCTGGAATGCTTTCGTTTATCATAATTAATAGATTTATCATAGGGTAGATGCGTCACAGGCGAATCTTTAAACATGTTTAATATATCCTCTCTTGTAAAAACATCTTTTTGATTATCTTCATATTTTTTGTAGTTGTCTTTAATAATCGTTGTCGGTGATGCGGCTCCATTAACTGAGTTTAATACTGCATAAGTTTTAGTATTGGATTCTAAATATTTTCTAAATTGTAATTCATAATTAGATGTGTTATTGCATATAGACTTAAAAGGTAGGCTATTAATAAAGCTTTTGGCTCTTGTCGGGCTGGAATTTCTGCTAGACCAACGCGATACTGGGCTATCGATGTGAAAGTCTTTGATACTGATATTGTCATTAAAATCAATTTCTTCGACTGGATCATCTGTGTACTTGATGAAAGGGATTTTTTCAGCAGTTAAATCAATTAAAGGGTCTTCGTTGTCGAATTGAATTTGAGTTGCGTTTATTTGAGTACCGTCATCTAGAACGTATACTAAATCGTCGTTTTCTTTTTCTATATCACTATATCCTGATTGAATATAACTGTCAGAAATGTGTCTACTTACATTTTGCTGATTATTAAGAAAGAACTGATATATATTATCATCTAGAGATACTGGTTGATTGCCGGTGATTGAATTTAAATCAATATCAAAACCTAATTGTGATCTGAAATAATTACCATAATATAATCAGAGATCTAGAAATGCAAATATCAAACTAGATATCAATGTGTTTATAAAATTAATCTTTATTAGGTATATGAATCTTTGAATAGTCTCTTTGACATATATATGTTTAACATTAAAAGGCACCAAATGTTGCTGTTCACTTAGAAATGATTCAATATATATATATATATATGTAATCCAATGTCTACACTGTAGGAATTTTAATTTAATTAATAACCACCAACCAACAAATATGTACTTACTTGGCTTTGTCAAAAAATAGCCGAAAGTCATCATGTGGATCAATTTTTAAAGTTACTTCATCACCATTAATATTATCCATGCACAGGACCAGGGGTGGCGGATCTGCCATTTTAGCTTCTACAAAAAAAATGTGTTACATATGAATGTAAAAAAGAATAATTGTAACGGACAGTGGGCTGTACATAGTAAATCTAACTTTTTACTTTAAAAATATTATAAATTATAATTAAATTAAAGTACATATTATATTATAAACTACTTTAATCTTAATTTTTAGCAATTGATATTATTTCTTTTACATAAAAGAAACTAACTAACTGCACCAGTTACAGTCTCAGCAGGCTTGATAAAAATAAAATAGAATGGAGCTTTGTACCAATACTTTTTCTATGGGATACGAGAAAATAATGTTAAATATCATCCAGAGAAAGAGAAATATAAATGATCATTTATTCATGTAAGTAACATAATGTACATTTTTGAAGAAAATAGCAAGGGTTTAAAATTTATTAAAGGTACTCATTACAGAGAGAGAGAGAAAATAATGTTAATTTAGTTTTTCAATGTTTTCTAAGAATCAGATTCACATTATGACAAAAGTAAATAAAAGACAATTGATGAAAAGTTATAAATAAAGTTATATGAAATAATAAAACAAAAAATTTGGCTTCTGCACATTGATTAACTGTTTTCTTACAATCAATAACAATATAATAAAACGGAGTCTGAGCTAAAATAAAAACTAAATGAACACTGAATATTGGATGTTTTATGCCTTTTATTTCCAGCCAAGAAATTATGTTGAAATTGAAGACGAAATAGAAAAAAAACAGGTTGTGTGTGGCCAGTGAATACATTCTAAAGTAGTATAACAAACATTAAAACGACAATTTGGGTGAAAGGGCATTATGATGAAATAAAAACTAAAATTTTACTAACCAGTTCCAGGTATTCATCAAGAAAATTCTAGTTTATCATAAAACTGGCAGAGAAAACAAATGACGATTCTGACTGTTTCGTTGAGAATTTTTTTATTCAAATTTTGTAAGTCGCGCCTCGGCCTACAAAACACAATTGCGACAATTGATGATATTATTTGTCATTTCGTATTCAGCGGGAAATGTCTAGCATATGTGTCATTTTTGACACTTTCTTGAATAGTATTAACACCGCAAATTGGTAACATGCTTGGCAACTAGTTTCTATGAATGTATATTTTGAAAAAAAAACTATTAGAATATTCGCTTGATTTAAAGTTTGGATGCTTAAAATAGCTTGCATTTATTGTTTTTACGGGTACTGATTACGACTAATAAGGCTAAGGAATGAATTGTGTGACATGTAAATAATTTGAATAATATTTAATATTTTGTACGATATATAGTATTCCAAAATTTTCGTTTTAATCAATAAGCAAGACTCAATAATGTGGTTAACCTATGAAAACCCTGACTTTATTAATTAATAGTTTACAATTTTATTGATATAACGTATTATATGGGCTCTGTGGATGCTAAATTTATCTGACATAACACAAACTTGCAACACAATTTTTAGTCTGTGATTGTGAAAGCATTAAGCAATTAATGGCATGGCGAGTTAATGGCAATTCTTGTCATTTTGTTCGGCTTCTAGACTTTATATTTTATTGTTTTTTATAAACCCGCCTAAGTAATAATCGGTGTGATGGGAAAGTTTTTGTTCTAAAATGCAGTCCGTCGTATCTTACGTCCGTTCTTTGCTGGGCTGGGCTGAAGAAGACGAAATTAAAAAGACTATTATAAAACGACACAGGTATGGCTTTGACACTTGTTTACAACATTAATCTATCTAGTTATGGCGGTAAAGTCGTTGTATGAAAACATATTTACTAATTACTATGTTCGATTAATGTGAGCTGCAATTGAGATTAAAAAGGCACCAACATGTATAAAATACCATTAAAAGTTGCGTCAAAGTTTTGGAAGTAAGTTTTGGTTTACTATTAAACAAATTGTTAAAGCCGTTTCATATTAAACTTTGTCGTGTTTTAGATATGATGATGACTATTCTGATGATGGACGTCCGAAGAAAGTAAAACATAATATTGAAAACACAATTTTTCCTGGAGTTATGACTTCAAAAGGTATTATATATTTCTAATTGTTGGTGTGCCTATGTGAAGTATTCAAATCAAAAAATTTGTATTTTTTTAGATTTGTTTGAGGATGAGTCATATAAAAACGTAAGAATAGTACCAATAGATATTGAGGATAGACGTCCAAGCACCTCAACCCCATATGAAAACATAAATAAGGAGAATCGCACCAGGACAGTGCCAGTTAAAATAATTAGTAGGCAGAATGGATCACTTACTCCTATTAGAAAAGAAAAACTGCATGGACCAGGAAATCGTTTAGTTCGTGCTGTACTTATTGATGATGATGCTGCTGATGAACAAGAGGTACTTACATTAACTTGTACATATGTTTATTGTTTTATATATTAATTTAGTTATTATTTTGTAATTGTTAAATCAATACACATCACATATGCTGCTTGTGTGCACCAGGTTTGTTGGTTCACATTCTTATCAATAAGAAGCTTTTTAAGCATTCAGTTAATACATTTAGCCTCTATTGCTTAAAAGCTATATATCTAAGTAAGAATATTTATTTTAGTAATGAGCTGTGTTAGGTAATTATAATCTGACTTTCATGTTCTAGGTTACATTAGTGGAAACTCAGCCACCTAAAGAAAAACCAAAACTTTACATTAATTTAGATGATGATGAAGACAATGATAGAGATGTTGTATTTGTGAAAAGAGTTTCTTCACCACCTTCAAGTAAACCTTTCAAACTGGTCATTGACGATAATGATACAACAGATTTTGCTGAGCCTACAAAATATAGACAATATCGTAAAATAGTTGACAGAGGCACAAATGTTTCACCAAGATCATATAGTATTCTTAGAAATAATGGTGGTATTCAAAAATCATATAAAAAAGCTCCAACACCATCATTACCAAACTGGCTTTCAGCAAATTCCACAATGAATCCGAGAACAAGAAACAACAACCTTAATGGCACCAAGTCAACACTACTAAAACTTTTTAATATAGAAGAAAAGAATAACTTTAGGGAACTTATTAAAAAAGTCTGTAATGCAAATCAAACACCACAAACACATAAACCAATTGACATAATTAATTTAGCAGAGGAATCAGCATCATTTAGGCTGACAAGGAAATCGCAAAAGAGTTCTCTGAATGAAATCAAAAGGTTTGAAAAAGACTTGAAAGGTAAAGAATGTGAATCAACAACAGAATATGATCCAATAACAGTAGCATCAATTACCTCTTCAGATTCAGAAATAGAAGTTATACCATCAGATTCTTCAGTTTCATCAACAAGAATAGAGCCTTTAAATACATTGAGAGACTCATTCAGAGACAGAGATGTAGTATCTAGTGATTGGTTAAGAAAATTAGATACAAAATATAAGAACAAAAAGAAAGAGACACAAGTTAAGTTAAATGATGCCCGACGAGAGTCTGATATAATATCAAAAGTTAACCATGAGCAATGTTTAGCACATTTAAGGAATAAGCTAAAGTATGAGTTGTGTATACCCGAAAGTTTGATTGAGGAGGAGCAGCCAGCTGTTGAGTTACCGCCACTAAGTGCGGAACAAGAGAAACTAGTCAGTAGAGCATTGGGGCCGGGACCTCAAGGACAAGTGCTTATTGAGAAATTTAATTTAAGGATAACTAGGTGAGTTGTCTTTTTATCCCTAGGGCAAACCCCAGTTCTGGATTTGAATATGAAAATGTTCTATTAATCTGTTACAATTTAATGATTTTTAAAGCTTTAATTCAGAACCTTTAAAGATATATAATCTAACTATATATTTTTAATAGTCTATTGAGTTACATTTTACCTATGAAATTAAGTAATTTTAACAACCATCTGACATTGTAATATTTTTATAATTACATTGTCTTTTTGACCAAATAAAGTATTGATTCGTTTTTAAATCAATTGCTTTGAACCAATGTTATAATCAAGCGCACTAGTAGTTTGTGTGCTATTTTGATTTTAATAAAATTAAGTAGAAGATATTTTTTATCTTCAGAGTATAATAATAAATTTTACCAGATTTATATTTGGTTTAATCTTGACCAGAGACATAACCATTCCATTTTAAGGTAGAGCAGAGACATTTGACTGAGAATGATTTAATGTTATACTAGATTATTTTTAAATTTATGCAGCTGTATTTTACCCTCAGCTTGATATTAAAAACAACTCTAAACAAACAAACCAACATAACCAACAACTCAAAACCATTGACAATGCTTTTTTAACAAACTATAAATTTATTAATAAATAAATACTTTCCAGACGAGACCTCCAAACATTATCAGGTCTAAATTGGCTGAATGATGAAGTGATAAATTTCTACATGAACTTACTAATGCAAAGATGCGGAGAACGAAAAGATTTGCCCCAAGTGTATGCTGCTAACACTTTCTTCTATCCCAAATTGATGCAGAGTGGACAAGCTGGATTGCGACGGTGGACTAGAAAGGTATCATTTTTTCTATTAATTCAAATTTAGAAATGATTTTAAACCAGTGAGGAATTTAAGCTTCTTGCTTAATTTTTTAATTTTCTTTCTTTATTCTAACAAATTACCAGTTGTTAACAATGCTAAAGTGCTTAAAGTCCCATAACCTGAAGAAGGTGGTGCATAGACATTTGGTCATTTACTGGATTATACTTTTAAAGCTTTTTGTGAGCTAACTGCCTCTTGTCTATGGTTTCCTCGGGAAAACTTTTGTTATATATATAAATTTATTTACTTTTAAAATTCATTGATTGGTATATTACAGTATAGTACAGTGTAATGGCTTGATAAATTTTGTCATTTCCAAAAATTCCATAAAATAAATACCTATAAATAATATAAAATAGCATTTGCCTAAATTTTAAAACAAGGTAATTTCAATGCGTAAACTTAGCTTCACAACTGCCATAAAACTAAACAAATAACAGTATTTTCCAATTATTTTCTGTTGTGCATTCTCTTTACTATCATATAACTTTGAGTCAAATAAATATTTTTTTTATTTCTAATGCTATAGATAGTTTGAGAACCTCTTTTTGAAAGCAAAATTTAAAAAAAATTAAACTTTGTAAATGCTGAAAAACTTTTTCTGAGAACGATTCAATATTAGAATAATTTATTTTTACACAGAATCCTCCAGAAATTTAAAACAATTATTATTTATTGTTTAGGTAGACATATTTGCACACCAGCTGATGGTGGTTCCTGTCCACTTGGGAGTCCATTGGTGTATGAGTATCATCGACTTCCGGGAGAAGAAGATATCCTACCTGGATAGTATGGGAGGGAAGAACCAAGCGGCCCTGGTTGCGCTACTGCAGTATCTCCGGGATGAACATAAAGACAAGAAGGGACAACCCTTTGATGATAGTGGATGGAAGACTGAGTGCTTACGAGTGAGTATGAGTATCTGACAAAGGCCAGTTTCTATTTCCAACTAACGAGTCGTTGATTTTGTATATCGATTAAATCTGAGGTCTTTGATATGGATTGTCTATTTCCCGCAAAAAAATAGGCATAGCTAATATTTGCCATAGATAGAGTAGTAGATGTCAATGCATACAAACTGTCAGAAACTGACATTAGCGTGTCAATATACGTATAAGTATTTTCATACATTTTATCTAACTAGACTATAAAAATTATCCATCTCCTAGCAAAATCATTAAGGACTTTTAAATAATGTTTGGACATTGGACATGGACATTTAAAATAGTTCGTTTTTATTGCTAATAGTCAAACTAGACCTTTGACCACATCCCCTAAAATAACAATATAAGTTGTTCTATTATAAATTTTCTTAATTCAAATACTATAAGAAAAATATCTTCATGGACATATGCTATAAAATTCATAATGACATCCTCTATAGCAATCAGTTTATAAGTATTTTTAATTTTTGTCATTCGATATTTAAATTGAAACTTTTTTTTTTCGTTGAAACTTCTGGCCAAAGTCTCGACCGGAAACTGGCATAAAGTTAAAACTATATAATATATATAAGAAAAATGGTCTTCGTTTGAGGCTCCTTCACGCCTAAACCACTCGTATCGACATGAAACTACTGCCATTCGATGCGAAATTTTTCCTAGATGGATTATGGCTATTTATTTTTTTAAATTCCAACGTTCCTTCCTTTTTTTTATTGCTGTTTTACTTTTATGAAAATTTATACATACGGACTTCACTGCGTAACTTTGGGGGAGGCTTCCTAGAACTTCAAAACGTCAGTCATCTCTTAAAACTCGATTTTCGAAAATTTTCAATTTTCTTAGCGGGAAGAAAAGAAGAATAATAAAAATATGAAAAAAATAATAATAATGAAACATAAAATTTTATTTGGTTCCTATTATAATTC